TAGGATACCCTGACCTCCGAGCAAACCCTTTTTGACACACCCCCCCTCATTATTCCCCTTCAAGGAAAAATCCTAAGGCCCTGCCCACTCTCTGGGATATTGACTTGTTGAACCTTTCCCTGCCCTAGAGACCCCATCCCAGACCCAGATCTCTACCCAGGTCTGAGAACACACAGCTAGGCGGTGCCCTCTGGTTTGGAGCCAAAGCTGCAACGCGGTCACAAACGCACTGCTGTGAAGTCAAACAGCTACTGGCCAGAGTGGCTGGTGGTGCAGCTAGGGACTGAAACCTTCGTGCAAGCTCCTGCTGGGCCATAGGTGTAGGGTGTCCCACACATGGAGCAGCGATTCATGAGTCAGGTAGGGTCACTAGCACCGTGAGAGTTCCAGTTTCTTTCAGGGTTAGACCCACTAACCTCACCACTGGCCCTGATAACTTATCAGATGCTCACAGGGAGTGATGCTGGGTGGACCCTGGATTCAGGTGCGCTTCAGGCAGAGCCCTCCCTCACTGAGGACTCTGCTGACTCCCCCTATTCTATTGAACATAGGGCTGTTGAAAGTGAGAGGAAGACTTTCTTCCCCTCTCTCTCATGCCCCGAAGAGGAATGTGGCTCAGACAGGTGGTTTCTGACCCACACCTGCCCAGGCCCTAGAGCCCTGCTGGCTGCGTATACTAACTAGTAACAAGGCTGGTTTCCCTGATACACACCACCAAGGGGACCAGACTCCATGCCACTGGGCATCAAATCAACCCACCCCTGGCATGTGTGACAAACAGCTAAGGGCTGCCAGCACATACTATTCACCCTGAGAGGCTGGGCAGAGGGAGAGGCTCTTTCCTGTGCCAGAACCACAGCTACATATGACAAATGTATCCTGCCGCCTCCTTTTGAAAAGTCAGCTCAGGCTGGGTGGCCAAGTCCTCAGTTTCCCAGGGACTTTAAATGTCTTTAAAATGCATGGATGTTTTTCCTGCATTGTGAGTATACTATGTGCCCGTGGCTACCAGGAGAGCGCAGCAGATGCCCTGGAACTGGAGTTAGAGTTGGTTGTGAGCTATGCGGATGCTGAGAAGAAAATCCAAGCTCTCTGTAAGAGCAGCCAGTACTCTTAACCACTGAGCCACCACCCCCCCATCACCTCTCAGCTGCTCCCTGCTGTGTATGCAAAGAAACTGAGTACCAGGGTTCCTGGACCTCCTCGTACCCAGGGCTGCAGGGTTACCACATGTCCTAAGAAGGGGCTAGCGTTGAGGTGGCCAGCCTATGAAGACCAGAGGCTAGGAGGACAGAACAGGGGGACACTGATCCCTGGGTCACGCCCGTGCTTCTGTATGCCCTGAGCTCTGTGCCGCTGTCTCCTCCAGCTGGTGGTCCTGGCAGTCGAGGATGTCGCCCTGGCACTGATGGAAATCAAAGTGTGTGACAGCCAGGAGCACACAGTCACTGTCTCCCTTCGGGACGGTGAGGCCACCCTGGAAGTGGATGGTACCAAGGGCCAGAGTGAAGTGAGTGCTGCCCAGCTGCAGGAGAGACTGGACACACTTGGGACACATCTGCAAGGCACTGTGCTCACCTTTGTTGGAGGCCTGCCAGGTGGGAGCCCCCTGACATAATCCCCGGGACCAGTGTGGCTGACTTGCCTCACACGTGGCCTTTGCTAAGGACTGTGAGACAGGGTTGTGTTACATAAATGCAGGCTGGCTTCTGTGCTGGGGTTGGAGCGAGAGGTCTTATTAGTTCAGCCCTCAGTTCAGGGCAGGCATCGCTCTGAGTCACCCATTAGGAAGCGTTGTCTGAGAGCCCAGGAGCCCAGACACAGAGGGGAGGATTAGCAGGTGAGGCAAGAGGCAGCCACCTAACTACTATTGCCAAGGATCACAGTTGTCAGTGTCTGCTAACCCCGCCTCCACCTACCAGGGCAGCCAACTTACTTGGGCCCATGGGTGGAACATGGGTAGTAGCGGTGGAGAGGCCTGAGTCCTCTTGTTAGCACACAGCGGGCTCTCTGGCTTTTCTTTTAAACCAATAAGGCTTCAACGGAGATAACAGCCCAAGGCCCTGAAGCATGGGAACTCATGAGGCACAGTGACACTCCTTGATAGCCAAACCGTATGCACGCATGCCTGGGAGGTTGAGGGGTGAGGATGCATTATGTCTCTGCTGAGCTGTTTCCCCATGAGACGGTAGCATGGAGAAAAATAAACACCCTGCAGAGAGAGTGCAGGCAGGGCTGGCCATAAGCACTATAGGAGCTGTGAGTGGTGCTACCTGGATTTAGCCCTGACCGCTCTGTATCTGGTCTCCCACCACTCCAGACGTTCCAGTGACTTCGGCACCTGTCACAGCATACTACCGTGGATGCATGACCCTGGAGGTAAACCGGAAAGTCCTGGACCTGGACGAGGCCTCGTACAAGCACAGTGACATCACCTCACACTCCTGCCCACCTGTGGAGCATGCCACTCTCTAGCACCCAGGAGGAAGCAGAGGTGTGGGCACACGGCACTGGCTCCTCCCAAGCAGGCCCTGCAACACTGGAGCAGGTGGGCTACCGCCCCGGCGGCTGGTTTTTTCCTTTCTTTACCTTGTAACATATCTGTACATACGGGACTGGCACCAGGTCAGCGGCTGCTCAGAGAGCCCCTTGGCCCGGTGGCAGCTGGCTGGCAAGGGTTGGCCTAGAGGACTGGCACTTTGCAGCTGAGTGAGTTTGAAGAAAATAATTCTGTTATTTTTTATTACCACGTGCTTCTGATTCTAAAATATGGAAAATAAAATATTTACAGAAACCTTTGTAACCCTGGGGTGGTTGGTCACTGTCTGTCCTGGAGGTGTCTCAGAACTGAGCTTCCTTCAGAGCAAACGGGCTTTGAGAGCATCATGTCACAGGCCCACCACTGGATCTTTCCTGGGACCCCTGTGATGATGGCACAGGATGGAGCCAGAGTTCTCCAGCCAGCTGCAGAGCCTCAGTTTACCCTGCAAATGGAGACAAATCCTCCATGGCTCTGCCATCAGCCTGCCCCAGAACCCTTCTTAAAACTGTCCCTGGCACCCAGTATGTAGGGGTGGTACCTGTGCATACTCTCCCATAGCTTCCTATACTGGCCACTTGCCTCCCTTGGCTGCCCCTGTTCCATTTAAAAGGTCTGGTCTTCTGTTTCAAGGCTACGAGCAGAGCTGGGGGAGCTGTACCCTCCCCGGGCAGCAGGAGACACAAGAAATAGCAGCTTGTTCAGTGTCTCTGAGCTGTCATTTCTTCATAAGGGAAGAAACTGGGAGCCACTGATTTTTAACTCCAGCATCCTGTAAGCTCTGGTGAAGACAGGACAGGGACAACCCTGTTGAACACGGCTCCAAGAAGGTAGGAAGTACAGTCCTGCCCGGGATTCCTCCCTGCCTATGTCCTCAGGTAGCCTCAGAAGCCCACAGGCTTCTAGAGGCCCGCTCTGTCTTCAACCGGTGAGGACCTTCGGTGGTTTCTCCTTGTGTTGGAGGCAACTCTGGAATGTTTTCATGGAATGTTCCCATGAATGTCCTCCAGCCAACTCCAATTCTCTCCAGAAGGTCATGAGGTCAAGAACAGAAGAGGACAAATGCTGGTTTGGAGCTAGACCACACAGACGAGCGTGGGGGGGCACATATTTGGCATTCCTAATCGGCCTTGGGGAGGCATCACCACTGTGGGGAAAGAGCAGACACCTCTCTTCACTGATGTTGTGTCCTCTGCCTTGGCTGGCACCAAGCCTTAGCCCATCTCCTGCCAAACAAAGCAATACTCATCTGCCAGTTTCCCACCATGGGATCCTCCCTTCCCCGGTCCAGCTGGCCAAACTACAGAGCACCAAGGGGAGCACCAGGAGCCTTTTGAGGAGGGATGGGGCAGACTGTTGAGAGAAGAGGGTGGGATGGATTGTATGCTCTTTATCGTCTGACTGATTGCAGAGTTCTTTTTCTAGGGAGGGACTGTTATTGTTTTTACATTTTCATTGCACCCTTGAGGCTGTCTTGAGCCTAGGGCCGTGCTGTGCGTTCAGGCACCCCCCCCCTTGTCAGTCAGCGCCCATCCTCCCTCAGGCTCCATTACGCTCTCCTCACAGACGCACAGTCTAGTGAAGAAATGTGTCTCCATGTTTTTCCAAGTGTTCCTAAGGCAAAGCCACCTTTTAGGAACCACTGTTTCAGAGCAGGGGATCGCTTCACTGTCTCTCCCAGCACAAAGCCCACAGAGCGTGCAGTCAAACATAAAGGAAGGCTATGTGCTCTAACTGGAAGGTATTGGATGGCCAGGATCACAGGGTTCCTGTCCAGGACAGACAGCGACTTCCTGCAAACCTATCAGGTAGAGTGAGCATCAGAGAGAGAAGCAAGTAGAAGACCCAAGCAGGCCCAGTAGAACATCCTCTGCTGCTCAAAAAGGGATGCATACAGAAGCTCGTCTGTGGTCCGTGCCATCCACAAGCTTTTGGTACTGGGCCTTGGGAAGCAGAGCTGTAATGGCTCTGTGACCCACAGAGGAGACGGTGCAAGTGGAACCCTGACTCAGCAGAGGAGCTCAGCTCAGTGTTTCTCACCAGAGGGGCGTGGCCCAGCACATCCACGCCCACACGCACGTATGTGAGCACTCAGCTGGTACCGTCCCCCAGACCCAGGACAACCGCATCTCCCGTCAACGAAAAAGCAAGTGGTAGATTCAGTGACAAAGCAGATGGTCATGAGCAAATCTCACCACCAGAGCAGAAGCCAGGCACAGAGCAGACCTTCAGGTGACAAAGAGGCGGTGCCATCGAGGGATGGGCCACAAGCCACCGAGCATGCAGGCTCCCACTGGCTTCCCAGCCTCGTTCACACAAGGGCAAGGACACGCAAGAGTATCCACCCACAACGTAGGTTAGTGTGGGCTGTGGGGGTGGTTCTGGAGCCTAGGGTACAGGACCTTACGTCCTCTGGCTGAGATAATGGAGAAAGACATTTTTGTGGCAATGAGCAGAACTGTTGACCTTGGCATGTGAAGTTTAATAGTTCTTGGCTCCAGTGGGTAGGGACTCCACAACCAAATATGCAGTTTTGATGTTCTTCAGAGAACCAGGGGCCAGTGCTAGGAAATTCAGTTTGAGCCCATTGGGCCAGGACACAGGACTATTAAATACAACACTGGGATGCTGTAATATAAAACAGGGAGGAGGTATAGGCCCCCCGCACCAAAGAGACTCTGGGGCTTTGGAAGCCCTTTCTCCCCTCAGCCTCCAGAACTTGGCTCTTCTCTGTAGTCACAACGTGGCTGAGGTGCTCCTTGTCCCAGCATGTGGCTTCGTCAAGGATGCATCTCTTTGCTTCTCTCTGGTCATGCTTGTCTTTCTGAACCTCACCCCCACAAGCGACAGGAATCTTGCCGTTGCTGTGTAGGATACCGTCTTCCACAGCCAGCACCGTGGCGTGTCCATGCCCCTTATAACTCTTCACTCCGTAGATTCAAGGCAGGGGACAGAGCCAACTGACCTCTGACCCCATCAAGGAGCAGTGCCCAAGGCCCCTTCCAAATCTAGAGAGGATTTTGTCCTGTTGCCTCCAGGTACGATTCTTTTTTTTTTTTTTTTTTTTTTTTTGGTTTTTCGAGACAGGGTTCCTCTGTGGCTTTGGAGGCTGTCCTGGAAGTCGCTTGGTAGTCCAGGCTGGTCTCGAACTCACAGAGATCCGCCTGCCTCTGCCTCCCGAGTGCTGGGATTAAAGGCGTGAGCCACCAACGCCCGGCTCCAGGTACGATTCTAAGGAGACTTTCACAAATGCCTCTGAAGTTATGGTCCTAAGAGGTATTAAATATCCTAATATTTATATATGTATGCATATATATATAGGTAAATATAAACCAGCAGAATATTGTTTGATAGTGGTCCAGGGTCATAGGGAAGCTGAGGACCAGGCTCCTGGAGGTTGTAGGGAAGCAAAAGCGTAATGGTTCCAAGGTCAGAAGCATCAAATGGAAACCAAGATGATCTCTTTCTTTCTCAGGCTGCAAGGCCAAACTCAAAATGAGGATGGTGTACAGTGACCAGTCCTCAGACCAATGGCTGTCTCAGCCCTTCAGGGATCAGTGAGCAGCTCTTGGGTTTGCAGTACCTCTTCTCCACAGGCAGACCTGTCCCCTTCCTACATGAACCTGTGTTGTGGGCCTTTGTGGAAAACCCTGTTTAGAAAACCTCTCTAGATCCGAGGGACAGACAGGCCTTGGCCAGCAGGGGGCACAGGAGTTGCATCTTCACAGGCTGGTCCTCCACCCCCACCTGCTAGTTCTGGATCCCAGAGGCCCTAGGATCCACGCAACAGTTAATTAATGAATAAACCAATGGCCACAAATCAACAGAAAAATGGGTGTGAGGTTTGGAGTCTTCCAAAAGGTGGATCTTGCACAGAGGCAGACGGAAAGGCCTCTGTCTGCCCAAAGCTTGTTCCCCTTCCAATCAGAAAAGCAGAGCTCAGGGGTTGTGTAGAGCTCAGAGGTTGTGTAGAGCTCAGTGGTTGTTCTGTCTGTCCTTTCATGCTCACAGAAGTCTGTCAGCCTGCAATGCATTTTCTGAAGCAACAACCTTTACCAAAAGAGATGCCTGGCTACCTTCCCTTTGCAAGGTAATGGCGACTGAACCAAGACTGGAGTAGAAGTGAAACAGCCGTGACAGCAGGCACAGAGAAGCCTTTCTGGACGATGAGGCTAGGGTCTAGCATAGTTGGCTGCCGGTCTTCATGTGGGGAGAGGGGGCCAGCAAAGCTGCCATCGGGTCAGCTGTCCCGCCTCACCTTCGCCTCTGGTCCTGGCCTATGCTGGCAGAGGGTGTGTCCAAGAGAAGGGAGACTCCTGAGTTCTCTATGAGGCTGGCTGCAGAGGCAGGCTTTCTCTATGTGGGGAGAGGGGGCCAGCAAAGCTGCCATCGGTCAGCTGTTCCGCCTCACCTTCGCCTCTGGTCCTGGCCTATGCTGGCAGAGGGTGTGTCCAAGAGAAGGGAGACTCCTGAGTTCTCTATGAGGCTGGCTGCAGAGGCAGGCTTTCTCTATGTGGGGAGAGGGGGCCAGCAAAGCTGCCATCGGTCAGCTGTTCCGCCTCACCTTCGCCTCTGGTCCTGGCCTATGCTGGCAGAGGGTGTGTCCAAGAGAAGGGAGACTCCTGAGTTCTCTATGAGGCTGGCTGCAGAGGCAGGCTTTCTCTATGGCTCTCTCTATGTGGCCTTTGTTACTTATTTCTGGCACCCCCAAGCCAAGTTACTTTTTAACCTACTGTGTCCATGTCAGGGTGCGTAGGGGGGAGGCTTCTCCCCGGGGAGGAGGTGGGTTGGTGTGCCCAGTGAAGGAGCATTAGGAGAACGCCCACGGCTGGAGTTGCACTGGGAAGGAGATTCTGCGTCCTCAGGCCAAGAGAGGTCAGCAGAGGACGAGGCCGGCAGGGCACTGGAGGGCTGCAATTAAACAGAGAGGTGTCCTCGATCAGCAGGTGAGGACTCAGCTACGCTATGCAGAATTTATGGCAGTGACAGCTTGGCCCAGCATCCTATCAGACCAGGAGCTACCAGCTCACCAGGGCCCCCAGGAAGCCTTCCAGGCCTAGGAACAGCCAAGACAGGTCAAGTCACCCTATCTGGTACCTGAGTGGCACAAACTTGCCTTCTAAAGCTGCTGGGGACACCTGGGGAGAGCTTCCAAAGCTCCAGACTTCCTTGGCTCACTTAGCCCAGCCAACTTTCACTAACACTGACTAGAAGAGCCAGGGACTGTCTAAAGCCAGGTCCTTAGCACTCACTAAAGAGAGCGAGGTCATTAACATCCCCAACACAGCATTCTGGCTAATAGGTCAGTGACCAAGTGTGGTCAGCCATAGTCTGGACGTTTAAGGAAGGTAATTTTCAGATGCAGTTAGCTTTTACACAGCTCCCTACTGTTGGAGAGTCTGGCCCAATCAGTTGCAGACCTTAAGGGAAAAGGTGGTGACCCTCAAAGGGAAAGGAACCCTGCCCGAGTGTGGTCCTGAGGACAGTGGGCCGGCCTCTACTACACTCATGGGAGTCAGCCATTAAAACACATCTCTTATGTATATACACCTTGTGTCTTTGAATCCCAATAGGCACCCCCCAAAATCATGGATGAGTTTGGGAGAAGAGGAATTTGGGAAATAGCACAGATCTGTAGTAAATCTTTTCTAGTTCTTTTTAGTTTTCTTTCCCCCTCTTAAGTACTAGAAGTTTGAAGTGAGGTTTTTAAAGTGACTCCTGGATGCAATGTGATGCTCCTACCAGCTGCAACCGGGGTGCCGAGTCAGGCTTCCGGCAGCATGGCCATTCTAAAAACATTGCCTCCCACGGAAAAGCCGAGACTGAGAATGTCTCCCTTACTGGAGACGACTGTCACAAAAGATTCAACTGCTGACTCAGGAATTTTGTTTCTCCATCCAATCTGTGTATGCATCCTTCCGACCACAGGGTCAGCGCGTGTCTGAAGGTCATCCTTTCAGGTCTGATAGGATGGGCTTCCCACCCTGTCAGTTCTGCCCTTTTCTGAAAATAGGTGGATAAGCCCTTAGGAACCAGAGAGCAAGCTCCCAAGAACCACGGGATAAAACCACCAGGAACCACAAGATGAAACCATGGGATAAAACCACCAGGAACCACAGGATGGAACCACAGGAACCACAGGATGGAACCACAGGATAAAAACCACCAGGAACCACAAGATGAAACCATGGGATAAAACCACCAGGAACCACAGGATGGAACCACAGGATAAAAACCACCAGGAACCACAGGATGGAACCACAGGATAAAAACCACCAGGAAACACAAGATGAAACCATGGGATGAAACCACCAGGAACCACAGGATAAAACCACCAGAAAACTCAGGCTAAACTAAGCCACCAGGAACCTCAGGATAAACCACTAAGAAACTAGGGTGAAACTGCCTCACTAAACAAGGCCTCATGAAGGCAGACCCTGCCCACATGGAGAGGACCACCCCAGCATAGCATTCGAGTGTCATGCTGAGCAAGCTGCGGGATGTTAACACAGACCCCTCTAATGTTTCCTCTTAAGTAACTTCACATGACACCCCCACAGCTATCTCCCTCCCTCCTGTTATTCGGGGATGTTCGCTGGCTGCTAATGACTTCAACAGGACAGTTAAAAGGTCTCCTTCCGTCTCTGTTGACCAGTGGAGACTGCATCCTTTCTGTTGTTCTTAGGAAACACATGGACTCATCCGATATGCCTGTTCCACAGAAACCCGATTACTTAAGCACGTGGGCAATTATCCACCCACACACGCTTCCATGAAAGCTGCTCGGCCCAGACAATAGGGTTCCCAGGTCTCCTCTGGGAAGAAGGGAAGCATCCACTATCTGCAAATCAAAGGCCCCAGAAGGTGGCAGAAAGAGTACCCATGGGGCATGGCAGGGTGTCTTTGAGGTTCTCAAAGTGTGTCCGTGGTGAAGAACTGTCCCTTATAAACCACCACAGGGGAATTTGTCCTTGTCCATGCGGAAGAGGGAAGGGCACTTCATGCGGAACCTCACAACCTGCAGGGCGGGCTGGTAGCCCCTCCACAGGAGTCCCTTCTTCCTCAGGCCAGGCCTTCAAGACGAGAGGTGGGCAGGCACCAGGACTGGCCCAAATACCCTCGACACCAGGCAGGAGGAAATGGAACCCCACATCCCAAGTTCATCTTCATCCCCTGTGGAACATCACGTGTTCTGAAAGAAGGCAGCCTGCGCAGTCTGTGTTCTGGGGTCGTGCTCTTGGCACCCATGTGATTTAGTGACTCTCTGTGTCCAAAGGCAGCCAGACCAGCTAAGGGAGACCCATCAAGTCTACCCAGAGATAGTCCAAGAGTCTTACAGGTGGATCTGACGAAAGTCAGACTGAGCGGGTCCAAGATGAGCTGTGGCCTCCTAGGGAGATTCTTCTCCAGGCCAACGCAGGAAGTTCCATGGAAAAGTAGAGGCCTTGGGGCTGCTCCTGCTGGTGCCCTTGTACGGCTATCTCGTTTCCTGACTCTAGACATAGCTGCTTCCAGAGAGGGGAGACTCGGTCCTGAGGCAGACTTTACCGATGGGACTTAGGCTCCTGGATTTGGGGTCCCTGGGACTCCATTGGATGCAGGCCCAGTTCCCTTTGGGAAGTCCCCCTAGCTCAGCCTGGGTGTCACACTGAGAGTCCAGACCCACTCCCCAACACTGCAATGGACCACTGCCACATCCTTCCTCCAGACCCCAAAGGACCCAAGTAATCCAGGGATGACAGCCCCAGCCAGTCCCTTTCCCGAATAAGAAGAGGAAGTTGAAGTACAGAGAAAAGGGACCCACCCCTTGGAGTAAGCCCTGGAAGACAGAATTAAGCTACACTTCTGGGTCCTAAACACTGGGGTTCCCGTGCTGTCTTCCAGGTGTAGTACATGCTATCAGCCCCGACTTTACAAATGTGGAACCCAGGTGGTCAAAAGACTCCCAAGTATTGCTCAAATCTGGTCGCTACATTGGGTCAGTCCCGGAACCCTGACAGCTTTGTCCATCCAAGATGGTCAGAGCTCAACACTCAAGCCCTCCCCAAACAAACGTCACTGGCTCAGCAAGGCCTCACTTTGTGTTAGTATAGCAGGTCTCCTGGGGAATGCCTGAGAACATGTGACTTCACCGCATTCACCGGGGCCCACAGGTCAGAGTTGAATAAGGACACAGATACACTCAACACAGCTCTGTGGGTCTCATCACAGCCTTCTGTTAGTGACGTAAGGCAGGTTGCCGAGCAGCCAGGCTGCATGAGCAGTCAGTACCCTGTCTAGAAGGTTTGTCTAGAACTGGGTTCTCAGTCTTCCCACAGGAGACCCTGGGCAGCATCCACAGAGGGTTTGCTTGTCGTGACTGAGGTTTTCCACATAGGAAGGCAGAGGACAGGTCCTGTCTGACACCTCACAGTGCTAAGGTGCAAGCCCGGAGGATCACAAGTTCACAATATGCCGTGTCCAAGTCAATATCGTACCATTGGACAACTGGGGCGCTTTCATTAATGGCCACCGGAACCTCGAAGGACACGAACAAGTCGAATCCAGGAGTGGAATAGAGGCAAAGCCCTGTTCAAACAAGATCTTATTCCGCACCTCCTTCCCTGACGGCCTCCAGGTCCACAGCACTGGCTGGCAGCCTTATAGACTGATTTCAGTGGATGGTGCCATGCACGGCTCCACTTAGGACACTTGGTGTCACACAAATGTTCAGAACCCAGACAGACAGTGGCATCCTCAGTCCCCCTGGCCTGTATGAAGACCAGTTCATGGCTAACAGACAGTATATAAACCAGCTAAAAGCAGTACATAAAATAAACAGTTCTTCCAGTAGGAAGAATTTACTCATGGGTTACTAGGGCCATGAGTAGCAGTGTATCTCAAAAATGACGTGGCCCACCCCATAATGATCCCAGTCCCCATCATCTAGATAAAAGCACACCCGTCTCCACTCACAACCCCACTCTGTCTACTCAGGAGCCCACTAAATCAACCACTGACCCCATGGCATTCCCGACCCCCGCAGGCAACAGCCGCTTACCTGGAGTGGCAGCGGATAAGAAGAACAGGTTGGCACGGTCATAGATGAAGGGCACAAGCCGGTGTAGGCTAGGATCTGCTGGGCAGGATTGTAGAGGATCTGGGGTGGTGGAGACGGGCCATAGGCCAGCTGAGACAGGGGGACCTGTGAAGAGAGGGCAAGTGACCACCTAACCCGATGAACCCTCAAACCCATTCAAGGCCATAGTCAGACCTCCAGGGGGCCCTAACCCAAGCCACAAAGAGCAGGCCAATCCACTCCCTCTTCGTGACTTCATAGAAAGTTCCAGAATCCTGTACATATGGTCTGTGGAGTCACCACCTGAAGCTGTCACCAGAAGAGGCAGCCTGGTAGAGCCCAAAAACTAGACTGTGGGAATTCAGGTCATAACGAGACATCCCTAAATCTCCCTGGCAACGAGAAGCCTGACACCAAAAAGCTAAGCAGCAACCCTAGGCTACAACCAAAGCCCCTGGGACGGCAGGATAAGCACACGAAAAATCACCAAGAAAGTGTCTTGCAGCCCTGTGTATCTGGAAGAACCCCTAAAGGGTTTGCCGCGGCCCCTGAAAGGACATAAGGAAGATTCTTCCCAATATTTAAAGGGTAACAGGCCAGCGCTCAGGGGCTGGTTAGGTAGGGCTGGCTCAGGGAAAAGTAGGTGGGGGTGAATTTCGGTTCTCTCATCCAGCTTGTTACGATGTAGTCCAAGCCCTGCTCAGAACCATACCCAGGCCACCATGAACCTCACAGTGACAGAGTAGCTTTGCAGGTGAGTTTCATTCTCGGTTCTGCCTCTCTAAGAGTGGAGAAGATTCAACCAGCAGGTGGTCAAGCACTGCTTCCAAGGCAAGTGATCGGTAACCCTGGCTACCATCTGACATGCAGGTCCTTTGTTAAGTGATCCACTGAGCTCTGGGCTATGACTCACTGGCTGGAAACACCTAGGATGGTACTACTCACCATGTCCTTGAAGGCCCCCAGGACTGCAGCTGTGACAATGCCAAGGCACAGGCCCAGTACGTTCAGGACCGTGGACACCCAGAGCAACCGGTACAGGTGGATCACATCCTGGCAGCTACGCACACCCACAAATTCATAGTAAGCAGGTGAGGGCTCCGTGCTACAAGAGGAAGAACAAAGTCACTGCCCTCATTGCTAGAGCGTGGCCGGGTGACGGCATGTTAGACCGTGGTCAAGTGGTCACCCCCAAGTATTAGAGCTATGGTTAGATGACTATCATCGAGTGTCAGATCCATGGCCCGTAGACTAACCTACGAGTAGGAACCATGGCATATAAACCCTAACCCTAACATTAGCCTTAGCCCTAGCCTAACTCTAATGCCAAACCCACCCCCAATATCAGCCTGAATTCTACTTCTAGCTCTAGCTCTAACTCCAACTCCAACACTTTAACTCTCATCCTCACAGATCTAGAAAGCCCGCTAAAGGGGACCATTTAAGTAGTGACACTTCTTCCCAGTCACCAAGACACCATTCAGACCACAGCTCATGGACCCCCTACAGGGATCACACTAGTGCGGTCCTGGCCACCACGGAAGAGAGGCAGATGGCAATGCCCGACACTAAGCACGGTGGCTCCTCCAGAGACCTGGGGGATGTTTCCAGTGGGAAGGAAGCGCATGTGAGGGGTGGCAAGCCCCATAGATAGACCCCGAGAAGCAAGCTACACCAGAAACCCTGGAGCTCCTGAGCCTGGGGCCTCTGACTCTTCTAGTGCTCATTCTTCATCTCCTCCTGCCCAGGCGAAAACTTCTCAAACAAGCTAGAGACCTCCCTACATCTCTGGGGACTCATCTGCCTTTGGTGGGGCTGGCCAGGGAGGCTCCACCAGGCCTCACACAGTGGGGCGAAAAGTGGTTACAGGATATCCCAGCTTACAAGCCCTGAGCCCTTAATGGCCAGCCTGGATGGTGGCCGAGCTACCTGCCCTGCCAGAATAAACAAGCATTTCGTGTTCTCATCTTCCATGTGTATCCTAACAGAAAACTGCTGGTGGGTCTCAGCCCTGAGAGGGAACAGAGCAGAACTGGGATGTGCTGGTGGCCACCTGCTGGCCAGCTGCCCCAAGGAATGAGACAAACAGGGGCCAGGCCCATCTTAAATACTTCCACGTTCTGTGTGTGCTCTTTGGGAGAAGACCCAGCCACTCTGAGAATCCACTGTTCCACGGCTGAAACAGGGTCCGGAGGAAGAAGCAGAAAATGCAAGGAGATGTGGGAAGGGAGAGATGGAGGCCTCTCTTGTGGACCGATGTCCTGTGCAGGGGTGGTCTCACCTGTGCTTGCGTGCGTGCGTGCGTACGTGCGTGCGTGTGTGCGCGCGCGTGTGTGTGCATTGTGTGTGTGTGTGTGTGTGTGTGTGTGTGTGTGTGTGCGCGCGCGCGCGTGAGCGTGCGCACATTCCTATACAGCCTTACCTCCCACAAGCATAGAGGTCACAGCAGTAGCAAGTGTTGCTCCTCACTTTCAGCTGGCACCTTCCACTCAGAGAGTAGCAGGTGACCTGGGGTAGAGACAGACAGGTTCATACCTTATTCCACACAGACAGCAGGCAGCCTAGCTCCAAGACCTTGCCCTGGCCAGAAGCAGGGCTGCATTGCCAGGGCCCTCCCTGATTCGTGGCAGGATGGGGTGGGGTAGGGTGGGACAGGGCAGGACACAGGACAGCACTAAACAGATCAGAGCAGGACTGGGTGAGGCAGGGCAGTCAGAATCCCCCAGGCACCTAACATTGACATCTATTTTCTGGAGTGTCCAGCATATACATTTTCAACCTTCTACATGTCTGAGAAGAGGCTCTGTTACCCACTTGCTGATCCCTGCCCCTCCCTGGCTCTGGCACTCAGTGTGAGCAGCTTTATTTAGCTAAGCCCACAAATCCCCACAGTGCTGGTGTAGACAAACTGAGCCACTGCCAGTGCCCACCTGGGCTGGGCTCACAGGTCATCTACTGAGTCTATTTGTGCTTCCTGGCGTCTCACTCAGCTAGCCAGTGAGGTCACACTACAGCTGTCTCCAGCCCAGGAAGAGCCAGAGTCCCTTGAACACTGCACATGTGTTACCCCAGTGTTTCATGGCAGCGATTAAGTCAGTGAAAATGCTAATGAGAATGCTAATGGGCCACGCAAGACTGGACAGATGAATCCCAACACTGTGTCAAAGAGGAAAGCGCGCAGCTGTGATTCCAAAGAGCATGGCGCCGTGCGCTGAACTGTCAAGGCTAGCTCCTAGCTTTCAATGCCTTGATGGCCACGTAGCAGGAAGATCTGTGAGAATTAAGACAGCCATTTTAACCAGACACAGAAGACTTGGGGGATATGGAAGCCGCATTAGCTCACCTCTGTCTGATAGACATCGTACAAGTACCCCGTCCCACTGGAGTAAAACTGGCACCTTCCTGTGCTGAGAGGTCTTGGTTCCTAGAGAAAGAGAGGAAGATGGGATAGAAGGCCATCATCCCCAACCAGGAGGGACCATTTCAGGCTTGCCTTCCATGGGCTGGGGCAGAACCAATGCCACACCAAGTATTGCCTGACATTGCAATTGTGTGTGGCATCTGGAAGCTGCAGAGGAGACAATTACAGATACTATCTACCCACTGGACACACACATGAGCACAGGAACCAGGCAATGCTCATACTGAATGGGCCAAGGGGTGTTCTACACCTCACCAGTGGCACTAGGCTTCTCTCTTCCTAAAAGCAAAATGAGTTTCTTCTACTAGGAAGGGAAGAAGAAAGATTTGGGACTAATTCTCTCATCCATCCATCCAGTCGTCATTCAACCAATCATTCATCCATCCATCCTTCCTTCCATGTCATGCCCCACCACATCCTACTCCCGTGTCTCCAACGCTCATGGATCTGATGTAGCATTGACCCACGAGGAAGCCAAGGCAAGCTAGAGCTGTAGGTGAGTGAAGTGGGCAGGGCAACAATCAGGCCATTTCCACAGCTGCTAAGGCAGAAGACAGCTGGGACCTGGGACTTGGGACTTGTGAAGTGCCATCAAGCCATGTCATGTGTAAGTGCTTCTTTGGGTTTGTTACTATGTATCAGTGACATTTTCTCAAAGCACTGCTCCTGACCGAAGAAGAGTCTAGAAATCAGGAGTAATTCTGGCAGCAGATGAAGACTCATGAGTCCAGGCAGCAGCTACGGTGGGGCATAGCATCTGTGTGCCAGGCTGGGTGTGGATGGATTCAGATGGGAGGCAGACCCTAGGTGGTACACAAGGGGAACATGTGTGATAGTGATTAGCGGTATAGGGAGGCAGTAAAGACAGGTTGTTGGGACTGGAGAGCTGGCTTCAGGGTTGTCAGACTTAAATGGCCTTCGTCACAATGTGACAAGACTCAGACCCTTCCCTGGTGGACTTTCCAGGGAGAGACAGGATGGTGTAAAGAGGGATGGAGTCTTCACATCGTCTTCCCACGCGGTGGCAGCTCAGTGAGTAACATGATGCCAGTGGCCTCAGAAGTGGACCCCAGTGAGTCACCAGTAGTCTGGTCACCCCCCCCCAAACTGTAACCGACCACAGGACACCAGGGGTCTAGGCCTTTGAATGATTCTGTGGGTTGGGACCCAGCCCGCGCTGCTCATGTAGACCCTCTGCTGGGCTCTCAACTACACTGGCCACTCTTCGGAGGTCCTGTCCTATCAGCCCACATAGGCAGGCACACGGGGATGGGGACATACACATGTAGCATACACATGCTCAGGTGGGGATGGACATGCAGGCAGGTACGCAGGTGGGCACACAGACGGACGTGCCCAGACAGACTGCCTTCTAGACTCTTCCCATCAGTGAAGCCAGGAAGGGTGGAGTAGGCCCTTTCACACCTGGGGCTGCAGGCAGGAGACCTTACTTACCTGGAGATAGACGTCTTTGGAAGGTGACCCCTCCCACAAGTGCTGAAGAGCTTGGAGGGCGTGGGACTGAGAAAGACTTCCCTACACAGGGACAGAATCTCAGAGCGAGGCTGGCACATTCTTTTGGGAGCAGTGTAGTCTATATGACTGTCCAGGGAAGGCAAATGGCCAGATGTCTAAACACCGAACTGTAGATACTGGGGGAGCTGTACTGAGCACGCATACACACTTGTACATACATGCACAGGAATTCCTACCTGGTTGGTGCATATCAAGCCATCATCATAGTATCACTCGCACCTCGTATCACACCATACACATCACATAAGCAGATCACCATCCTATCACGCTACTTGTCAGGTCTGTGACACGGCACAGTGCGCCCCACCACATCGGCCGTGGTGTCATTCAGATCACATCCCACATGCTGTACACAGCATGCTACCCCATATCACAGCATCCTTTATGCCATTACATCATTCACAGCATCCTGTATCCCATTACATCATCATCCGCAGCATCCTGTATCCATTACATCATCATTCGCAGCATCCTGTATCCCATTACATCATCATTCACAGCATCCTGTATCCCATCATTACATCATTCACGGCATCCTGTATCCCATTACATCATTCACAGCATCCTGTATCCATTACATCATTCACAGCATCCTGTATCCCATTACATCATTCACAGCATCCTGTATCCCATTACATCATTTGCGGCATCCTGTACCCCATTACATCATCCACAGCATCCTGTATCCATTACATCATTCACAGCACCCTGTACCCATTACATCATTCACAGCATCCTGTATCCCATTACATCATTCTCTGTCACACCCCCTACATCACAGGGCATTTATGCTCCCATGGCATGTTCTGCACCCATCATATGTACACATCATGTTCTGCCGTGCCTTTCATACTGTGCTGTATCGTTCGCGTTACAGCATGCGTCACAGCGGAGCATGTCACACGGCATACTGTGTGTACCTGTCTCTTAACTTGATCTCCTGCATTAGGCGGGAAACCTGGTGGCTCATCATTGCCTATGGCACCTGGGCCCGCCTGGCCCTGTAGCTGCTAAACAGGTGGATAAGCTTGTCTGTTCACTGTGGGGGCCAAGTTCAGATTAGCTACCGAGCAAACAGATGCAAACAGCGCTTCCTTCCCCTGTTGGTAACTGTGCTGCCAGCAGGGCTCTCCATTCTCTTAAAGTCTTTCTTGCAGATAAAAGGATTTTTCATGTCTGTAGCCCCCACATTAAGCAACAATCTTCAAAGAGAAACTGTGGACCTACAAGCATGTGCAAGACCAAAGTCAGATTCCACAGTGCACTTTGCCTTAAATGTGGTGAAGGCGCTGAGGACAGTCACCTGGACACAGCTCCAAAGCTGAGGAGGTGGGGACAAGGGTTCCTTAGTGATTAGGGAGGACTGGGTTGGGGGTAATTGAAATAATGAGGGATGTTTGTGCCTGCTGTGTGATGCGCATGTTTGTATCTGTTGTGTATTTGTGCCTGCTATGTGTGATGTGTGTGTTTGTGCTTACTGAATGTGGTTGTGTATATTTATGTCTGCTGTATTTGGTATGTGTCTGTGTTGTGTGTGGTGTCTGTTCCTTCTGTGTGTGATATATGTCTGTGTCTGCTATATGTGGCACGGGTATTTGTAGTCACTGTGTATGGCTGTATTTGTGCCTTCTCTGTGTAGTATGTGTTTGTACTTGCTGTGTAGTGTGTGTGTGTGTGTGTGTGTGTGTGTGTGTGTGTGTGCCGTGGCAGCTCAGCTGAAGCTAGTGTGAAGATGTCAGAGATGGGCTGTGTAACTGAAATTTTGTTTTCCACATGGACATTGATCCCTAGAGACAGACTGCACAACAGTCAAAGGTAGTACTCACAATGTGCCGTGCTGCAAACACGCCATCCACTATGGCACAGCAGAATGCCGCCACAACACCAAAACTGATGAACACGATGGCCGCCACCAACTAGGAGGAGAAGATAGAGAGGAGTGTGGGGTCTCAACCTAAAAACAGCCTTGGACACAGTCAGAGTCCTAGCGGGTGTTTATGGCCCCTGGCCAGATCATCACTGCTATGCTTCCATCCACCAGTGTCTCAGTCACTTACGGACCCACGTGGTACCCTCTGCGGGTTCTGTACCACGAGACACAAGGGCAACCACTGCAGGAAGTATACGCTATGCCCTCACCACTGTATGCCCAACTGCAGTGTGTCCCCTTTGCATACACACACAAGTCCTCGCCTCTAACATAACTAGATTCATTCTGCACCATCCCAGCCTGCAGGGGCCCACAGCCACATCTGCCCAGGCTACCCAGTAACTGCCCATGATACTTAAACTGTTTGCTATAGAAACTCGGAATGCTGTTCACTATTAAAAAGTATATGTCACAAATGGGTATTTCTGTAGGATGAATTTCTTCCTTGAGCATATGTTAACCCAGTACTTTGACATATGTAGCATATTTGGGTTCTTTGTGCTTTAAAACTATAACAAGGAACTCTACACTGTCCTGTAAACATACTTAGCCAATGACAACAGTATGCCCACTTCCTTGCATCAGAATGACATGAAATTGATGCTAAAAGAGACGTTTGCCTCAATTTACATTTCTAATTTTTCAATTTACATTCCTCTGGCTATGTGGCTGAAAACTTTCTTATAGTTGTTGAACACATTTATTTTCAGTTTTTCTTGTGACACAGTTTCAGATTAACTATCAAGAACAAGCTCAAGGAATTTCTGGGCCCAAGTATCCTAGTGCTCAGAAGGATGGGGCAGAAAGATCATGAGTTCAAAGCCAGCCTCAGCTACCCAGTGAGAGCCTATCTCAAAATAAATTAACAAACAAACCTGAATTTCCTTCCTGGGAGTCCCCCATGTATTTATATTTTCAAAACAGTTGTGTGAGCCCTCTCTTATCTGGAACGCCTCTCCCAGCCAGAGAAATCTCTTATATGTGTGGGTTTATTGCTTGGTCCTGGGAGATGCATAAAGTTATTGGGATTACCAGCCACAGGGAAGAGAGAGGGGCAACCACCAAGAAATGGCAAGTGAAGGCCAGTCATGGCAGTACACACCTACGATCCCAGCACTTGGGAGGCAGATGGCGGTGGATCTCTGAGTTCAAGGCCAGCCTGGTCTACATAGTGAGTTTGAGGCTAGACGGAATTAACCAATAAGTCCCTGTCTCAACAAACAAAATAAAGACAGGGAAAGAAAATGAAAGAAGGAAGGACATATCAGGTATAACAAGCCACAGGCAGCTCTCTCTTTAGCTGCAGGGTAGTGTCGGAACTCTCAGGCGTGTTGTTGATCCGTGCACTGATAACAAGCTGTACTCTGGTGACGCTGGCACTACCCTCTGGTGTCCCCTGCCACTCCATTCTCACTCATCTCAGTGTTTGTTTGTTTGACATGAGCCCAAAAGTCAGAACTCTGCTGTAAGGAAGGGAAGGCCAGAGGCCTCTGCCAAGCTTGCCACGCATGTCCTCCTACGTGTGTGTGTGTGTGTGTGTGTGTGTGTGTGTGTGTGACCTGTGTCCTGATCTAGTCACTGCTTCAAGACCAACCCGAACTGCAGTAGCATCGGGAGTGCTGCTCACACCCTGTTCTCAACCTCCAGAGCAGCAGGTCAACTAACAAGCAGTCACCAGGAGGCCAAGAGCCTGGGAAACAGATCTCAGGCCCAGGGTCCTTAGCCTTCTGCCCAACATCAGAACACACAGCATGGGGAAGACCCACGACAGTTGCCTCTCTCAGGGAACTGTCAAGATGTGCCACATGTGTGCCTGGTACATGACCCTGGCACACCTTCACACGGCCAGTCGTCACTTCCACAGTTCCAATTCATGTGAATTACACAACGATGACGAGCCCTCTCCATCCCCCACACTGCCACAGTCCAATCGGTCACAGGGTTTCACAACCCATCCTTCCAGCTGAGGACACAAAACACACCTCACAGGGACAACTTGGAGCCTTTCTCAATGGGAACCCCTCATCCTGAAGCCTCTGGGGCTACCATGCTACCCTTGGCCAATGGTGGCCGCTCTGGCAAAAGAGTCAAGTGTCCCCCCCGCACCACAGAGGCTGAGGGAGGCGCATACCCACACACCTGGGGAGAAAGCAGCACTGCTTGATAAACAAGGACTTCGGAAGAGTCCAGCAGGGGTTGGGTCCCCAGCACAGGCATTTGTCACCCTGGGCACCGGGGCTGTGGTGGGAGCTGTTCCAGGTGCTGAAAAGCTTTTCTGAGATCTTCCCAAAGCAGAGCCACAGCTGGGCACCCCATGTCTCACGTACAGGAAGCCAGCATTTCTACTGTGGCCATCGTGGTGCCTGTCAATGCCCTAGCCACCTGAGTCACAGTAGGCCACACAGCTGGTGAGTGACTGAGCTGGGTCCAAGTCAAAGTGTACTAGAGGAAAAATATAGCCAGAGTTCCCGTTCTCCTCCCCTGAGCCAAAGACATGGGTGAAGAAATATAAAGTAAAGAAGCCCTTTAGTGTGTCAGTCAAAGAGACAGACAGACAGACAGAGCAGACAGAGACAGAGAGACAGAGACAGACAGAGACAGAGACAGAAGAGACAAAGAGACAGACACAGAGACAGACAGAGAGAAAAAGAGATGGAGAGAGAAAGGGATGGGCAGAGAGATGGAGAGAGAGAAATGGAGACAGAAACATATGGAGAGAGATAAACAGAAACATACAGAGATAAAGAGGGGGAGGAAGAAGAGAGAAACAGACAGAAAGGCAGAAAAGAAAAATTGAGAGGCGGGATAGACTGGGGGGCTGTAGACCATCTTGGCAAAATGTGATTTCTTCCTCAGCTCCCGTTGAGGAAGAAGGAAGAGCCTGTGACTTACAGCTACAGTGTGGTGGTAAAGGGTTCAGAAAGGACACACAGGCCACACCTGCCTCCAGAGGGGGAATAGAGGTTCTATTGACAGGAGAGACACAGTTGTGTATACTTCTTGTGACAAACTGTTTCAAAGTGACAGTACTGTTCCTCCCAGACACAGCAGGGTCACCTTTGAGTCACTTGGATGCTGAGAACGGCCGAGTGAGGGGAAAGCAGGAAGTGAAGAGGCTATGCTTACAGAAGGCTTGGTAGGTAGCAGGAGCCCTCTCCAGGGAAGGCGGCTTGTCCTCCCCCTTGTAGAAGAGCCCTCCCTCTGAGTCTGTCTTTAGCTTCCTCTAGAGATTGTCATAATAATAGGCAGAGATGATGGTGAAATCGCTTCTAATTAGATTTCACCCTCAGAGTGGACAGATTGGAGGAAGCATAAATGGAATAAGTGTCTGAGATTTCCTCAACTTCCCATGGGAAGGGAGGTACAGAAGGGAACAGAGATTAGCTCCGAACTGGCTAAAAGGTGATAAGTACACCTGGAGTGGGTGTGGTGCTATTCTGTCTTTTACATATGCTCAAATTTTTCTATAGTACAATTTTAAAATAAAGATAAATCAAAAGAAAATCACTTTACACAGCTGAAACATAGCTATCCTCTCCTTGGCTGGAGCTGGCCCGCCTGAGGCCACTCCCTGGAACAACCTAAATGCCCTCTGAACACACAAAATAGTGGCCCTCATTTCTGAACGCTCACTGCAGCCAGCTCTATGATAGATACCCCTCGGGTACCAGCCCTGTCAAGACAGCACTGAAGTCCAGAGTGGGACAACTCACTGGTATTACAGCAATTCCCTTTGTAGGCTTCCTACAGGCCCGTAACCTACTCAGTCTCAGGTTCTTGGCCAGTTTATCAGTGTCAGGCATGGATTCCATCTCGTGGAGTGGGCCTTAATAAAAAAAAGCGATGGTTGGCTACGCCCATAACGTTTATGCCACTATTGGCCCAGTATATCTCACAGGCAGATCACTGCTATAGGTCACAGGTTTGCAGCTGGGTGGCATCAGCGATTACTTTTCTCCTCCAGTACCATGTGGTAGGGGTGAAACTTCTAGCTGTGCACAAGGCACCTAATCATAAATTTGTGTTATACTGGAATGTGTGCCTGTGATACGAGAGCAGAAGCAAGATTATGCAGCAACCACACGCAAGTTATCAGGATAACCCAAGGACACCGGGACCAGCTCCCCTTGTCAACTGCTGGACCTGCAGCTCTTGCCACTGCATCATCTCGATTCTTTATACTACCAGCCCCAGAACAGCTACGGCCAGGGTTTCTGAACCCAACCAAGAAAGGTAAAGCTGCTGTCTGCAAGGTGGCACAATCCCAAGGAATCCACTGCAAAGCTATCAGAAACAACACATGAGCTAGCTCTTACGGCTTGCAGGCTTGGAATGAACCTCAGCAAAAGCCAGTGGTAGTGAGCCCTCCACTACAATGCCCACACAGTACCCTCATAATGAATAGTACCAGGAATAAAGTTTAGAGCAAAAGATGAAAACTCACACTCAGAAAACTAAGAACATTTGTGAGGTTTTAGAAGACAAGTAAGCATGCTAGACCAACAGGGAAAGACCAACCATTCCTGGATTGAGCTCTCTGCCATCTGCCTCAGCACCTCACCTTTAGAGCTCTTGCTCGGTGGAGGTTCACCCTTGATAATGACAAGGAATCCTGCTTAAGTGGAACAATCTGGAAATGCACAAAAGGCTGAAGACTCACATGTCCTGACCACAGAGCTTATGCCAAAGCTGAAGAAAAGAAGACAATGATGTGGCTCATAGGCGGACCCATTGACCTGTGGGGCAGAACTGAGAGCCCAGAAATCAGCGGCATATTTATGGTCGGATGGCTGACATAGGAACCAATCCCATTTGATGGGAAAAGAACAGATTCCAACCTCTCACGCACTGCATCCAATCTCTCAGCCCAGCTAGGGTCTACATATCTTGCACAAGAGCCAAGCCAGATAGCTAGCTCTCAGCCCTAAACAAAACTTGTCTTTGCAACAGATGGACAATTGATCAAAATGCAGAGAACAGGATGTCAGGAGGTTACCAGCCCTAACTGACAATCAACAGCACAACTGCTATCCCTAAGGCTTGGAGAACATCATGGGCGAGGGAACAAGAGATTGTAAGAGCCAGATTGTCAGGAAGTCTACTGTGAGAGTCTGTCTCCCAGAAATGACAGAGGAGCTTCACCCATGATACCTCAACAATGTGGCTGCTTAGCTAACACCTAAGGAAAGGTACATCCATAGACATGGTCACACGAAGGAGGGAAATTTCATTGGATCTCACCCATAGACAAAAAATTACAGGTAATTAAGTGCCTTAGGGTTTCTATTGCTGTGATGAAAGTCTATGACCAAAAAGCAAGCTGAAGAGGAAAGGGTTTGGCTTACACTCCCATATTGCTGTTCATCACCAAAGGCAGTCAGGACAGAACTCAAGCAGGGCAGGAACCTGGGGGCAGGAGCTGATGCAGAGGCCATGGAGGAGCGCTGCTTGCTGGCTTGCTCTCCATGGCTTGCCCAGTTTTCTTTCTTATAGAACCCAGGACCACCAGTCCAGGGATGGTCCAACTCACCATGGGCTAGGCCTCCCCCATCAATCACTAAGAAAATGCCCTACAGTCTTGCCTACAGACTGGTTTTTTGGGAGAATCACTTGAGGGTTTTTAGCTCAGACGACTTGAGCTTGTGTCAAGTTGGCATAGACAAAACAGCACTCCAAGGCATGCTGAGTGACATGACAGTGAGCCTTCCCTAGGGGTGAGTCACATAAGTGATTATCCAATACCAAGTGGCCAGCCCTGAGACAATAATATACATGCAAGCAATACTTAACAGACTTAGCAGGTTATACATTATATATAGACATATTAGATATATACATATATAGGTTACAGATTATGTATGTATATACTATGTAAGCAATGAAGTAGGTTTATGGGAGGGATTGGAGGGAGAAAAGGGATGGGGTAAAATGATATAATTATGTTTTAATTTTTTAAATGAGAAATTTTAATATTTTATAGTTGCTTTAAAAAAAACAGACTCCAACAAATGGGGTTCAAATAATGAGAAAAAACGAGGGAATTTCTGGAAGCTGTGCTTCACATCACACAGGACTGACGTGGTTCAAAAGCCGGAAGGAAATGCAACTGTTAGAACTCCACCTCAGCCACATGGTGGGGGCGCACGCCTTTAATCCCAGCACTCAGGAGGCAGAGGCAGGCAGATCTCTGTGAGTTCGAGGCCAGCCTGGTCTGAAAAGTCAGTTCTGGGACAGTCAGAGTGGTTACATAGAGAAACCCTGTCTCAAAAGAAAAAAGAACTCAAAATTCAAAGCTGGGCTTAGCAAGATAGCACAGCCGGGAAAGTGTATGTCACACAAGCACCAGGACCCACATCCAGAACCCCAGCACCTGTGTAAAATCAAGGCATGGCAGTGAGTGCCTGTAACACTAGTACTCCATGGCACAGGAAATGGAGGGCTGGAGACTGGGGGACCCCAGAGCACCCCAACAGGACTTAAACAGAAGTGATAGCCACTTATTTTTATCACTCTGCAACAGTGCACCAACAGTCTACAGTCCCCTCTGCTACGCATGGCTAATAATACTCTATGAACTTGGACAAACAGCATCACCTAAATGTCTACTATTGCGCTGGTCTGAATAAGAATGCCCACCCCCCATACACTTATCTATTTGAATGCTTGGTCTGTGTTTGGTGAAACTACTTGGGAGGGATTGGAGGTGTGGCCTTGTTGGAAGAGGTATGTCACTGAATGTAGGCTTTGAGGTTTCAAAACCCCACACCATCCCCTGTTAGCTCTCTCTCCATCCCACCACCTTGTACTTGAGGATCAGATGTAAGTTCTCGGCTACTTCATCACCATGTCTTCCTGTGTCTGCTGCCACTCAACCCGCCAAGGATGACCATGGACTCAACCTCTGAAACTGTAAGGAAGCCACCATTGGCAGTGGCCATGTCAGAGGAACTGCAGAAAGCAATGGAGCTTTTGGAGTACAGCTCACTGGGATAGATAGCACGGCTACTATGCATGCACCTTTGATGGGTGAAACCCTTCTGTGTATATGTTTGTCTGATTGGTTGATAAATAAAGCACTGTTGGCCAATAGGGAAGCAAGATAGGTGGGACTAGAAGTCGAGGAGGATTCTGGGAAATGTAGTCAAGAATGGAGAGTTGCCACGTGATCCTGGGAGGAGAGTACACATCCAGGATGGTGTCCTCGGAAAAATAAATCCTTATAAAAATATACATATTAGTAATTATGGGTTAATAATTAAGTCAGTGCTAGCCATTAAGAAACCATAGCAAACGGCCAACAGCTTCATGATTAATATAGCATCCTGCGTATTCATTTGGGACTGATGTGGCTCTGGGACCAGGCTTTGGGAAGAATGCTCGTCACACACCCTGGAGGAGCAAAGCCCCAGGGGTTATCTCCAGAGTGTCCCTTGCTTCTGCTGTGTCTTCTGCTCACTGCTCTCAGGTTTCTACTGTACTTGGCACGCTGTGATTACTACATGAAAGAGCCCCATTGTACCTAGCGTAGCGGGATTGTTTCGTGGGAATATCCCACTCCCAGATCATAATGAAGTTGGTTTTTATAGAGCAATGATGCTTAGTTGGATCAATGATTTAAAAGTGCAGGTGGTTAGGACAGTGAAGATTACCGAAATGGTCTAGGTTATTCTGCCAATTGCTCCAATAAGAGAGACAAGAAGGATAAAAATAAGGCTAGAAGTCACTTTCCCTTTTTCCTAGACGTGAGGCTGGCCTAGGATAGAAAACAAGAACAAGGAAACTTCGTGCATTATAGACCCATGAGTTCTGCCTGTGGGAAAACAGGCTGATGATCAAAGAAAACAATTATATCCCTACACCCAGGTTAGGTTAGAGTTCCTTGGTCATGTAGCTTACAGAGTCAATCACAAGCTTCCGTGCGCACCTTGAAAAACAGTTATGAAAGGAAGTTAAATGACCTTTGTATGTGTAAGGAGAGAAAAGGTGGTTAGCTAGACTGCTTGTTTAGGTTTGTAGATAGGAACCTGCAAACAGCTGCCTAATGGTACAAGAGGAATTGACTGAGACATGCTTTGCTTGCTTAAAACTTTGTTAATCAATAATAAAAGAATCATTGCTTTAGGATGAAGATTTATGGTGGGAGAAATAATACAAAGAAAAATGTTTAATTACATGTGGGCTTATAAGAAAAACATGTAACTTGTGAGCATAATGATTTCTTCCTGTGTAAAGATTTTAATTTGTTTCTAGAAAATATGTAATGTGTGGTTGAGAGGTAATTTCTTTTTGCATAGAAGTTTCTGTCTTAGGCGGTAAAAGGGAATAAGAGGAAAATAAAGAGACTGGATACGAGAGAGAAAAATCAAATGAAGAATTGAGCTTTGCCCCTTCAGGTAAGTCTGTTGTTTGGGAGGGTGGACCCGGCCTTCTCTCCAGTTTCTACCACCTGCGGAAGCTTGACTTTGGCAACCAATTAAACGTTTGCTTTTCTAAGTTGCCTTGGTTACAGCGTCTCTCTTCACAGCGACAGAACAATAACTATGTTTCTAAGATGTGACCCCAGTGCCTGCTGCTCTGTTTTCATCTCTACTCTCTGTTCCTCAGTGGGTGTGCTCACTTAGACCAAGTTCTGAACGGCACCAATTAGGCCCTGCGTCTTGGGTTGTGTAGTGTATAGGGCCCAGGAGTTTCAGATGAATGTGGAGAGGAAACCCTAGCCGTGACTGTAGCGTCCTATATTGAAGGACCAACACTCCCACAGCCCCATGTTGAAAGCCATCATTCTTACCATTTGTCTTCTATTCTCCACCAGGTGAATACCAATGATTCCCAAGAAAGACCCAAAGCCCAGCTGAGATGAAAGAACAAGAGAGACGTTTGGTTAGCATCACCCTGACCCATCACAGTTACTAACGCCCTTGTGCTGGTGAGATGTCTCAGCATGTAGAGGCACTGCTGGCAAGCCTCGTGACCTGAGTTCAATCCCCATGACCCACAAGATAGAAGTAAAAGAATCAATTCCTCTGACCCCCACACATGCGCCATAGCATACATTCCACCCTTCCAAGTAAATATGATTTGTAAATATTTAACAATTCACCCTTAAAATGCTTTGCCCATGTGGGTATGGTAGCTCAAACATATAATCCCAGAACTTGGGAAGCTGAGGCAGGAGAATGGCCAGCTTGGGCAACCAAATGAGACATGGTCTTTAAAAAAAGAACCAAAACTAAAATACTTTGTCAGAAGAGTGTGGCCACTCACACCTTAGGAAGCACCACAGGTCAGGTAGTTACTTTCCCTGGAAAGGGACAGTACACCCACCAAAGCCTGCTGGTGTGACAGCGGAAACAGAAGCTATGCTTCTACGAAGTCAGTTCGGCCTTTGGTCACAGGACTCAGCACACCTTTGTAGGGACCTCACACTGAGCTTCTGGCATGCCCTTTCTGGCTAGCCCAAGAAAGGAAATTTAAAGCTGGACACCTATGGGGTTTCAGTGAAGAGCTGATAAGACCAAGACCCTGCCCACACTAGAGTGTTCAAATTGGAGCAAGGACAGCAGGCAACCTGGGCATGGAGAGAGGCAGGATGCAGGTTTGGGGTCCAGGAGCTCTCTCCCAGAAGCACAGTGGGGTGTTCAGGTCATATGCTTGTACCTGTCCTCATCTTAAAGCCAGGGCATTGGGCCAGAGTTCCAGCGATGCTCTACACACTGCTCAGAGTCTGTGCTAGTCTGATGATACTGGCCTACCAGCATGGTGTAAGATGACAGCCTATCTTAGGGCCCTCTGACCAACAGACCTCAATCCTCCATCTTTGCTGAACACTCTCAGATACTTAGCATTACCCTGGGAACAATGGACTTTGGCCCCCTCCCCACCATGGACTAGCAGGGAGTTTGTCTTTCCACGCAGAACCCTGAACATCCTGCCTGCTCAGTCCCCCATAGGCCTTTGACTCACGATGATCCCTGGGTAGTAGCCGCCCACGGTCACATTCTCTGTCCTGGTGGTGGCAGCAAGGCCGATGGTCAGGATAAGAGTGGACACCAGCAGCAGAGAGCCCACAAACCACAGAGAGATCTTCTTTCTCCTTGCAAAGCCCTCTGTGAGGAGGAAAGGAGGTGTTAGTGAGCTGGTTACCTGCTATGGTCCAGGCCCAGCCATTGGGAATCATGCGATTGTCACATCTGCCCCCTATTAACAAAGGGAAAACCTGGTCCCAGCTGTGCCAGGCAGATAAGCAGCCTGTCCACTCCTCCCTTCTCAGTGGCCCTGAGCATAGTCAGGGGTCACTGTCTAAGACTGGAGAGTGACTTGCTGTTGGACCCCAGCCCCCACGGGGTCTCTGAGTTGCTTGACAGTCAATAACCACAGGAGCATCCCGTTTTCTAGTCTTGGCTTACAGCCCCGGCCTTGCCCCCCTGGCATCAACCTCTAATTATGGAAATATGAACTATCACACCTGGTGTTTCTCCACTGTGCTGTAAGTCTGTATATAAGGCTGCTCCCTATTTGCAATAAACACACACACACACACACACACACACACACATTGCCTTCATCCATCTCAATGTGAAGGAAAGAATGACTTCATGAGGAATGGAGGAAGTGCCCTGAGTGTCAGAGGCAGCTGTGCCCCAGATGCACGCAGGCCCTCTTGCCAGCCGCTGGGGTTTGTCAGCCGCTGGGGTTTCTGGGTGTGGACCTACCCATCCAGCCAGAAGGCTGCATGCTGTGCGATTGAGCTCTGCACTTGCTGCAGCTCAGCGGAGACCACTGGACTCACAGCATTGAGGCACTGCTGCTTGCCTCGGTCCCGCCTCCAGCCTGAGATACAACAGTGGCCGGGCCCTGCAGCCACTTTGGACAAGGAGACTTTGGAATGAAGTCCCATGCAGAGAACATCATCAGAAACACCACTGAGTGTCCGTCTCCATCCTTCATCAGACAAGCCCAAACACCATGAAGCCCTCCTCCAGACAGCCTGCTCTGTGCAGCTGAACTCTGGGTTTTACACAGCTCTCAGGAAAGGGCCCGCCCTCTGCTCTACCTCCTGGAGCCTGACACTTCCCCTCATGATCTGGGGAGGCTGAAATAGCTTTTCTGCTGACTGCCACACACACCTGACTCCCCTGATCACAGCACAGCCACACACCTGAACCACAGGCTATGGCCAAAACCAAGTGAGAAGGCATGGCCAACTCCGCTCCTGCCAGGAACTTAACCAAACCACGTCAAATGAAGTGGGATGGAAGAAAAGTCTGGTGGCCTTCTCGACGCCAGAGTCCTATCAAGTCAACATTTTGAGTGTGTATACACGTGCAATTATGTACACTCATGCGTGCCTATATGTGTGTACACGGTGCAGTGCCTGCTTCATCAGGAAGTGGTTTGCCGAACCCAGTATCACCCCCCTTTCGAATGGCCACTGCATCTGAACGGACAGCTCTTCACGCTCTGAGAGGCTCTCATCTGAGGATTTCACACGTCTTTGATCTCGCCAGTAAAGCTAAACGCAAGTCAAGGTTATGACACCCAAGAAAGGGGGGTTAACAAACCCAAGACATAAACCCTCAAGGGATGACTGCTCACACTCCAAATGACTCAGCTGACTGGAGAGAGGCATCTTTACCTGGCTGACCCAGCAAGGGCACGGCTCCAGGAGTAAGACCCCACTCCAGAGCCCTGCTCATCTCTGTTCAGCCTTCTCCAGACCAGGGTGTGACAGGTGTCTTCTCAGAATCTCACCCTAAGCCACCTTTCAGAGGGACCAGATCTGACATTCCCAACACAGGAGCCACAGGCTCCTCCACCTCAGCCTCACTGCTTCTGAGATCCCCCAGGGTTGTGGAGGACGGAACCCCCGCTAACCAGGCTCTTCAAGCCCTGGCCTCAGAGAGTCTCGCCTTCCCACTCCTAATCCCCACTATGTTGTCTGAGATAAAGGTTTATGTCCACAGTCCATGGGACCCTTGTATCTGCCTCAGCTCACCCTGCGGGCTTACTTGAATGTCACCTGCAGAACCCACACACGTTCGCTCACTCCTATGCTCTTTCCTAGTCATCTCATATTATTTTCCCAGATCCCCCACCCCCCACTTAAACTGAGCATTTATTATGTACAGATGCTTGCCATGAACACGAGGTGAACCCTGCCCCCAATGGGAGCTCTTGGTCTTAGGAGAGAAGGTCGTCATGTAAGATGAGCCACAGTTGACAGAGGCTTTATAAAGTGCAGAATTCAATAGGCAGGGCCGGGGGACAAGAATTCAGGAAGGAGTGTGGAAACACCTCTCAGATAACGAGGTCCTGAGGTGTTTGGGAGCGTGTCCAGATGGCCCTGAGAAAGCCCCGAGGTTAGTGGTTGGCATGAGGGCAGCCTGGGTGCTGAGGGAGCAGGGAGCTGGAGAGGCTACTGTAGCCAGAGGAGCAGGAAAGGAGAAACTCTAATTTCACTTTCTCCTGCATCCACGACCTGCACCTGGACAAATTTAGGGGCAGCAGGGCAGGCTGAATGGAATCCAGCTGGATGGGTCGGGCCTGTGAGGGTGTGACAGAGCAGGCAAGGGAACACCCTTCTTTGAAAGCACCAGAAGCCGGGCACACAGCACCCCCAGCAGAACGTGGGAGGCTTTGAAGCAGGAAGGGGCTCCTGGCTTCTCCATGGTGCCCACAACACTACCAAGAGCTGGCCAGCACCTGCACACGCTCAGCCTCAGGAGCAAGCCAATGAGGCTGGGACCACCGGAGCAGGATGGGCCCGGCTACCACCTGGTCATGCCTGGCAAGCAAGTGCCGAAGAGTGAACAGGTACACACTGAGCCATGCAGGTGCTTTCTCGTCTAAAGGGTTGATGTTCCTCCTTTTTCCTAAGTGCATTCCAAACAACTGATAATGGCCCGGCATGGCTGACATCTGGGTGGAGCCTTCTGCAGAAACATCTTTCACCTGAGGCAGCACCAACCCACAGCACCGTGGACCGTGTCCTCCTCTGTGTTGGTCATTGGCATGGCATCCTAGGCTGGTGGCACTTAGCATTGTTGGACCAACGGCTTCTGACCTGACGAAAGCACTAGGCCAAAGGGCAGTCTCTTGAGATCACACTCTGGTTCATCTGTATCCCTGAATGATTTCCCCCTCCTGCGGGTCCCTTCCCGAGTCTTACTTTCCCCCTAGAGCAGTGGTTCTCAACCTTCCTAACCCTGATAGCCTCTAATGGTGACCCCCAACCGTGAAATTATTTTCATTGCTACTTCATAACTGTAATTTTGCTACTGTTATGAATGGTAATGTGAATATCTGATAGGCAACCCCTGTTGAAAGGGTCATTCGATCTCCCCAAAGGGGTTGCAGCCTACAGATTGAGAGCCACTGCCCTAGAGTATTCCATAATAAAAAAAAAAACCCAGAGACATGAGCTAGGCCAGGTTGCCAGTGTTTCTGTCCACAGTTACCAGGAATAACAAGGTCTGGAAAGTTGCATGGTGACGGACAGGGTAGTTAAGCATTGCTTTCCAACTACTTGGCCTGGAGTTAATGGATTCCCAGTAGACATACAGGGAAAAGGAGGGGTTCCTGCTCAAAGCACCTTTTATAAATACATCTAAATACACAGTATGGCATAAAAGGGAGTTAAAAAACAAGGCAAAGACAAGACGACGAGGGGGTCTTTGAAACCTCAGGATGCAAACACTTCTACACCAGGTTTTGGAGACAAAAGGCTTTTCGTGCATGACAGATGCCCAGACAATTAATGCACCATCTCTGTCCCTTATCCCATCCACAAAGTGCCATTGTCCTGTGCATAGACAGTGCCTGACTGCTAACTAAACCACTGTTTCCAGGTGAGTGACCGTGGGTGACGGCCACGCTCAAGCCCAAGAAGAGAAGGCAGGGCCATGCCTCTCACTCTCGGGACACTAGTGTCCAGCTCAGAGTGGGGGAAGGAGGTGTCACCCGGCTCCGAAAGCACCAGTCAGAGCCGCCCCTCCCCCCACCAATCCTTTAATCCCATCCAGAGGGTCACCCAAGGTGGAAAGTCTTTTCTTCTTCAAGTCTCTCCCACCCTCTGCTCTCCTGGAACAATGCCTGGCGCCCCTCCAGGGTCTGACTACTTCCCAGAGGAGCACCCTAGCCCAAGCGGCCGGAGCCAGGGCCTGCAACAGGTTTCCTGGTTTCCCAGAAGGACCTGGCTTCAGCTGCTTTGGGCTTGATGTGGGAAATCAAACAATTAGAGATGGAGTGGCTGGGTAGGGGGGTGGGTGGAAGCCCTCGCCTGCACCAACAACACTGAAATGCCCTGAGCACCATTCTCCGTCTCTGGCAGGAAGCGCTCCCTGGTTCTTTCAAACAAACATTTCCCAGAGAAACTTAGAAACTGAAATAAATGCAGTAGGACTGGAAAGGTGTCTGTCGGGGATGGCAGCACAGATAAGTACTCGGGCTCGTTAATAAAAGGACGGAGTAGGGGGCAGACGCAGAATGGTGTGTGGCACAGACGGGCACGAGCAGAAAGATGAAGCACCTACGGCTAGGTGGCTGGTGCCCCACAAACTAGAAGTTCCAGAAACCAGACCTGAATCCCCAGCCCCAACCCCAGGGAGTCCTGTGCCCAGAGCCCCGAGCTGCGCCGCTAGTTCCCCTGTTAGACCAGCTAGAGGCTTGTGACCCAGCTCCTGGACCCCCAAAGTGCCTGCTGGTGGTAGAGACACCAACGATGCTGTGAGCTAACCTGTGGTATCCAGCAGAGCCAGGGGACCCGGTACAGGCGGCGGGAGAGGCTGCATTCCCGAAGTGCCCTCCGCTGGGAGGGCAGCCTTCTAAACGGCCACTTGGAGGCTTCTTCTGTCTGGCGAGGTTTCAGGAGGCCCAGAAGCACACTCTCCTCCTGCCTTCCTCTCTCCCCTGGTCATTTCCCTTCTCCCCCCACCACCCCCCTCTGCCCCCTCCATCCTCCTACACCTCCCTTCCTCCTCCCTCCTAGGTCCTGGTGCCTGCCCAGCCGCTCCTCCTCCATCTTCCCTCCTCCCCCCACTCCCCTCCCCCCTTCTCTTTCCTTTCCCAGTCTGCAGCCCCTGGAGATCAGAGTCTAGGAAAAGACCCCGGGCTTTCACTGTCAGAGATGGAAGACAGACCCAGGGAGGAGGAATGTACCTGAAGAAATACTGAGGGCCGCTGGCCTGAGCCCAGCCCTCTACCAGAGGTGGCCACGGACCAAGAACCGGGAAGCAGAGAAACTCAGCAGAAAAAGACAGGGATTCTACTGGGGGGTGGGGGCCTGGAGAGGACTCAGCCCCTGGCTACTTCAGACCTCAGTGAGTTGAGCCCTCCCACAGCAGTCATTAGGGAAACGTTCATACAGGTGATGTGATGGAGGCGGTTTTCTCAGCTGCGGAGCTGGCAGATCAGCAGCGCAGTGTGAAAACTCCAGTTCTGCGGTAGGCATGCCCCCACCTGGCTCCAGGGGCCGCAGCACTCTGGGGATGCTCTCCCCTGCTACCCCACTCACACACCCGCTTTTAGATCCACAGCACTAAAGTTCTAGTGAAGGCTGCTGTGGGAAGAAGGGGAGGGGCTGCAAAGGAGACAGATGGATAGACAGGACACACCTTAGCCAGGTTCCCATTGCTTCAGTAAAGACGCTATGATCAAAAGCGGCTGGAGGAGGAAAGGGCGTCTTTGTCCCATCACAGTCCATCCTCCAAGGAAGCCGAGGCAGAAGCTGAAGCAGAGACCACGGACAAACCCTGCTTGCTAGCTGGCTAACAGTGGAGAGAAGTTAGGAAGCCGCGTCCACGGTGCGGGGGTGGGCTGCCCTGCTCAACCACTCAGCAAGCAGTATTTAGGTGCACTGACGATATGTCTACAATCCAGCAGGCTTTAAGGGTAGCCCAAGAGCAGACCTCAGGAAGAACTGTGGTTTTACACTTCTGCTGCTGCCTGAATCGTCCATTCGTTTAAAATTACTCGTGTGCTGAGGCAGGGCAGCCTCTGGGAGTGCAGCCTCTGCTGGGAACCCCTGCCATCCTCATAGGCCCCCACTGAGCAGCCATCCGGATGGTCCCAAACAGAATGTCCATCCCAGGTGAAAAGGAAGCTGAGCTATCCAGGGAGATCACAGGGCATGTCAAGTGCAGGATCTACACGACTCAATCTAAATAGATGTCGGGGACCACAGTGAGTGCCGGGCAGTTTCTAACCTCTCAGTACTTTCCTGGGCCTCCATCTTGCTCTAGACGCAGTCCCAGCAACCGGGGGCATATCGGTGAACAACGCAGATAAGGATGCTGGTGTATCGAGATAAGGTGTGTCTCCGAGGGCCAGGACAATGGAACATGCATGCTTGTACCTATGTCATGAGTGTGGCAGTCATATGATGGCTTGGAGAAGGTCAGCATACCAGAGAGTGTAGAATCTAGCATATAATAAAACTAAAAGGTCTTTTCTAAGGGATGTGCAGGGCTCTGGGATTTGTTTTGGCCACTGAGAGGACACTGTAGGAGCCAAGACCTGTGTTAAGTAGGTCATGCTCCAGTGAACCAAGACAGTGGCCTGGCCAGGATAGAGGGACACAGATAAGAGAGACATAGCTAGGTCAGAGACACACCATGCTTGTCCTTTACTTCAAGGAGCACTGTAATGGGTGACTTTCAGGGACACTGAAGCCAGTACATAACCACCAGGGATGCTGAGGCTGGTTTGTAACTACCAGAAACATTGAGGCCAGTATGTAACCAGTATCAGGGACTCTGCAGTCAGTAGGATAGCACCCTGGTGGCTGGAGCCAGTACATAAATGCCATTGAGTGTGTCTATGGATAGAAATACCATGAATTAAGTTGACAATGATGTCTCATACCTGTAATCCCAGTACTCCAAAGGCCGAGGAAGGAGTAGTCCCATGAGTTTGAGGCTAGCCTGGGCTACAGGGAAAAAACCTGCCTGGTATTTGTGCCAGGGCACAGAGAAGTCTGTGATACCTATGCACCAACATTAGACTATTTGGAAGGTTTCTGTGAGGTATTTTAAGTTTCCTTTTTGAGGCCTAGTGCGGCATGGAGTTGTTTCCAGTCCCTAAAAACAATTTTAAAAAGAACAGTTCAGGAACTCCTACAGAGCCTTTTCGCAGATCACCAACCCTTCACAGGATGAGGAGGGAAGAGGCTTATTTTGTCCCAGGGAGCTGGGACCTGAGTGCTGTCCCCTCCCAGAACCAGACCCATATCAGCTACTCTGTGTGCCAATTTCCACAGAGCCAGTCAAGGCCTTTGAAGGAAGAGAGAGATTTTCCTGGTAAAATGAGGAGGTTGAAAGGGACCTTTGACTGTCTGCACAGAGCAGGCCAGGCATACCCTCCTCAGAAGACCAACCTTCCTTCATCTGCTACCCGCGGGTACCCAGGGACCTTCCACAGTCCTGCTAACCCTTCAAGGGCTCATGGTGTCTAAGACACCTAGGAGGCGGGGGAGTGGGGATGTCCCTACCTGGGGGGGAAATGGAGGCAGCAGCAGCAGAGAGGCAGGGTGGGTACCTGTGTTCTGAGTGCTGGTTGCTCAGACCAGTCTAGTCACTGTAAGCAGAGAGATGCCCTGCTTGGCCCTGAAGGATCCCAGACCCTAGTAAGATGCAGATGTGGAGACAGATGGCCTCCAAAGAGATGCTGGGCATGTTTCCAACACAGCCAATAACAGAGGACAGGGGACAGGGACGGGCAGGTGCTACACGCAGCTGCAGGAACCAGGCTCCTCAGGGCCCAGGGCCAGTGCTAACAGGAGCTTTCCCAGAGGGCCTGTGGGCACCAGATGCCTGGTTGCCCTGGTCCAAACTCCAGGAAGTGGGAAAAATGCCAGGTACTTCACAAAATTGGCCACAATCTGACTGTTCTGAGTCTAAAGGGTTGTGTATACACATTAGCAACACAACTTGGTATAACTGAGTTTGGGATGTGTGGTGCAGGCCAGTGGCTGAGTTCCTTAGTAGGTCTGAGGAGTCCTTCTCTTGCAGACTGGGTTGAGGTGTGTGTCTGAGAACTTCTAAAAACTTCCTCTGGGGAGAGGTGATTGGCATTGAAGTAGAAAGTCAATACATATTCCAAAAATATATTTATGTATATGTGTACATACATGCATCTGTACATGCAACTGCACACGCATGCTTGTACATATGTCATGAGTGTGGCGGTCATAGGATGGCTTGTGGGGGTTGATCCTCTCTTCCCACCATCTGGGGCTTTGAACTCAGATCATCAGGTTTGGTGGCAAGTGCTTTCACCTGCTGAGCTCTGTCCCTGGCCCCATGTCGTAGATTTTGACATACCTACTTACAGAATCACCAGCGTAGTCATGATGGGGAACACATTGTTCACTGCTCTAGAGAAAGTGTGCACCTAGGAGAGCCAGGGGACTAAAAAAACGAGGTAGACCAATGTCTCATGCAATGGCCAACTTTATTCGGAGCATCAGACCGTTTGTACTCTGAGGGTTAGGAGTCTCCTGAGTAAAGTTTACAATCACAAGGACCAGCCACACATGGCCAAAACCCTGACTTTCCATGGAGGCACATGAATAGCAACAGCTGCAGTAACCTCACTCCTGTCTGTTACACCTGGGAGGGGCGTGAAAACACATCCCAAAACAATTCTGTTCTGAAGACTCTAGCCGGGCGGTGGTGGTGCACGCCTTTAATCCCAGCACTCGGGAGGCAGAGGCAGGCGGATCTCTGTGAGTTCGAGGCCAGGCTGGACCGACAGCCTCCAAAACAATACAGAGAAACCCTGTCTCGTAAAAACAAAAAAACAAACAAACAAAAAAAAGGCAAAACAATTCTGTTCTGAAGACTCTTATCTTGTTGACATATTCACACAAGAACTCAGAATTCCCCTCACAAAACTCCATTCTTGGACGAGTTCTGACACACATCCATTGTAGCTGTCTTGGTAAGAAGGAAGACAGATTAAAATATAAGGTGTCTTGCTGCCAGAGGATTGAATCGATGGACCCCAAAAGTTAAAGTTTCCCTGAGAATCTGGTATTGATGGAAGGGAAAGGCTGGAGCCCTGATGCCAGTCAGCAAGGGAACGCCCCTCCCAGGAAGAGACCCCATGCAGATCCGACAACTTAACAGACCTTCTCTCGGGACAGACCAGCGCTGAGACAGTGGCTGAGACAATGAGTATTGGACCAGGGGCTACTTAGAGATTTACCTCATAGCCTCTCGAAAAACCTAACCCTCATATTAGTACCCTGAAGACAGACTTGAGGTTCCTGGACACACTCATTTGCTTCTCCTCCTGATATGGCCACACTGAGTCCCTCTCTGCTTTTCACATTACTTGTTTCTTCCATTGCTGTGCTGGAGACGGGAGCCAAACTGCGCTTGTTGGGACTGCCAAGAGCCCAGGTTGGCACCCTGAGACCTCCAGTAACACTGTCACTCCCAAGTGTTTCCTGTCTTTCTTCTGAAGCCCCTTCGCAGCCCCTTCCTCCCTGGCAGTTCAGCACAGAACAGCATTTTAGAAGTCACCCTAACGTGCTTCATGGCTGTGGTTTCTTCCACTCAGAACTCTGAGCTGAAGTTCTGTCACTCTGCAACAATACGTTCATCCATTCATTCAGGGGCCATTTGGGCAGTCAGTGAGGTCAGGCTGTTCAAGGCAACACTTCCAGGAGTAGCTCGCACCATGAGGATGTGTGCTCTCACCTCTCTTGGTGGGTGGACTTGGTTGGTTGGAGTACGTAGAGATAGTCTAACCTCACATAACTACATAGCTGGAAAAAGAAGGAACATTTTAAAGACATTTTCATAATATTGTGGATGTTGATGACGGTTGTTCCAGATATTAGTTTGACTGGACTGAGGGATGCCATCATAGCTCCAAGGACTTACTTATGGGTGTGTCTGGGAGGGTGTCCT